CCGCCGGCGGGGCGGGACGGGGCGGGGCGGTGCGGTGTGAAACCGCGACTCGCTCATCTCTGCCCCATACCACTCTGTTCCTTTTTTCTAAAATCCTACTCCAACTTCAATTTAACTTCATTTCGAGTCGAATTTTACAAAACTGAACTTCTGCCAAAACACTCTTAAATACACATAAGTTTTTCAACATAATTAAATCTACGATTGATATAAATTAGTAGCATATTAATTTATTGCTTTATAAACTTTCTCATAAAATTTAAAGATAGGCACCTCCATTCTATCCTGTTCCTATTCCATTTTCACTCTGATGAGAAAAAGCACCAACTTTTGAGTTGAAATTGCCCATCTCTGATATCAACCATTTCAAAATACTTACTCTTCAGATGCTCCTGAACATATCCATAACATTCGAGCTTACAGAAGACTTCTCAGAACAAGTACTACATAAGGATTATAACATGATCCTCATAGAAGATACTCATTATTTTTAGATTTTCAGATTTTGACAGAGTATCTTATTTAGTCACCAAGATTCTCTTCGAGAACCCTTATACAATGGTTTGAAGATGGTGTTCATCAAAAGTTAAAAATAGCATTTTAGAACACTTTCTTTTCAAAGCCCATAAAATCCATAGATCCCAATGTTTGTCGCTGAAGAGCTCCGTTCGGATTGACATCCATCTTTTCAGCATTTGCAAAGGTAGAAGCCCTCTCAGATTACATAGATTCGCATGGAATCCTCTCAACTTTGTTCAGTTTCGCCTGTATCCAAGCCTTCTCAGGATCTTACCCAGAGTACATCACGGTTGTTCTTCGAGCAGCTTCACATAACTTACCAAAAGCCTTATGAAATTTCACCGGCATTCTCTATGCAAATACTTAGGAGATTCTTCGGCAGATCTACATTTATCATACAGAAAATCATGTATCCTTAAGGTTTCCTAAAAAACATAGGGATTAGGTTTGATATTTTGTTGTTCAACGATTCGATATTCTTCTCACAAGATGCAGATAGAATCTTCTCTGATGTTCATATAAATGATCATTCTTTCAAAAAGATTTTGAATTCTTGCAATTTTAAGAAAAATCCTCAGATCTCTATGTTTTTCTATCAAAAACTTACATGGAATTAGTATTACTCTTTCTTGGAGAATCTCCTTACAACAATCTCCAGGTGTTATTTTTAGAATCAAAAAGATCTTGGCAAAAACTAACAGTGACATAGATATAAGAATCGTTACCAAATCCATTTTTTCTCATAAGAAACTGGGAAAAATCTTCTGAATTTTTATCTGCGGAACGAGCATTTTCAAAGACGAATGTCATATTTGTAGCGCTTACTCCCACGAGGAATGGGATCTCTTCAACAACGACGATTTCTTTTTTTTTTCGTTCATTGTAGTAATCCCAAATATTCCAGTCGATGCCCGATGGAAACACAATGGAGTGACCGTTGCTGGAGGCCATGGAGGGGGTAGTAACACCAATCAACTGTACTACCCTCAAGGTCTCTTCGTTGATGATGATCAAACGATAGTCATTGCTGACTACGGCAATCATCGTATCATCCAATGGAAGATGGGTGATACGAAGGGACAAGTAGTAGCTGGTGGCAATGGCCAAGGAAATCGATTGGATCAATTGTATTATCCAACCGATGTGTTGATTCACAAAGAGACGGATAGTCTCATTATTTGTGATTGGAAGAATCGACGAGTCGTACGATGGTTTCGTCGTAGAGGCACAACTCAAGGAGAAATCCTCATCAATAACATCGATTGTTTTGGATTGGCCATGGATGATCAGAGATATCTATACATCTCTGACTACAAGAAACATGAAGTAAGACGATATCAAATAGGAGACAAGAATGGAACTATTGTGGCTGGTGGCAATGGCAAAGGTGCTGGTCTCAATCAACTCAACTTTCCAACCTACATCTTTGTCGATCAACAACAGACTGTCTACGTGTCAGACAACGAGAATCATCGTGTAATGAAATGGAATAAAGGTGCAAAAGAAGGAATTGTCGTCGCTGGAGGTCAAGGCGACGGGAATGCTCTGACACAGTTGTATCATCCTAATGGGCTGTTCGTCGATACATTAGGTACCATCTACGTGGCAGACGCGGTGAATAGTCGAGTAATGCGTTGGCCTAAAGGAGCGAAACAGGGCACTGTCATTGTGGGTGGAAATGGTGAAGGAAAAGGAAAAAATCAGTTCAACAGTCCCATTGGTTTGTCCTTCGATCGACATGGCAATCTCTATATCGTCGATTTCGGGAATGATCGTGTTCAACGCTTTTCAATTGAATAGCCTCATCGTGATAGATTTTTTTTGCGTTCCTTTCCTTTCAAATAAATCACGTTGAATTGATGAAATGAATGGCTTATTCTATTCGCGCGCGCGACCAGGAACCATCTTGGTGGAGCCATGGCGAGCGTAACGCTCATGCACGCGCAGGACAGACCCATATCATTCATACCCTCCCCGCGAGAGATATGTCAATGAGTCTGAATAAGCCTGGTCGTGTGCCACGGACACCAAGACGGTCCCTGGCCGGGCTTTTAGGGACTACCCGGAAGTCCTTCATAAAAGGCGAAACTCTAACCCTCAACTGGCAGAACTCACCCTCGCCTCTCACTAACACTCACTTTTCTGAGTCTCATCCTCACCCTTCTCAATCTCAATGTCACTATCTAACCTCATCCCTCTCTCTCACCCCTATTCTCTTTCTCAAAAGAAAAAAAGAAATAATTACTCACGTGTTCGAATATTGGACGATGATAAAGAAGACGCGATCATGTTGAAGACTGAAAAGAAAAAGAAAAAGAAAAAAAAATTTAATTAATGTTATATTATGAGAAAATATTAGTTAACTTACTCCCTGTTATCTTTCCCTAGTTGATAATAATCAGAGAACCTAAAACAAAAGGCAACAAAATAAAAGATGAAAAAAAATTACTTACCATCTTTAATTTCTTCATATTGATCTAAAAGAAGAAAAATTAAAAAAAAAAATTTTTACTTACTTTCAATATTTAATGGCTAAAATAGAAAAAAACAAAGCTTAAAATAGATCGGAAGAGGACTTACTACCCTCCATGTGATCCAAAAGAAAAAAAAAAGAAAAAGAAAAAAACTAAAACTGATACCTACATTTTATTTTATGGCTTTGTTCGACGTTGAATTGTTCCATATTGTAGTGTTGATATTGACCTAAAACATAAAAGAAAAGAATTAGTGTTTATGATTCAACAAATTGAATGATTTCACATAGAGAATCATTCATATTTATACTCCAAAAAAGTTATGGGGAGAGAAAATCATTCAATTTTTTTTAATGGATGTATGATTAAAAGATGAATTTCATTAAGCTTTAATCGGGACACACAGATACATTGAGATAAAATTCAATTACAACTATCTTAATGTATGAGTGTGGATAAAGCTTGATTGATATACATATTAATTATGCTATGTTATCATTGATCATCAATGATAACATGAACGACGACTTATGGACGTGAGAAGACAAAAAAGAAAATTATTCTCTTGACCTTTTTCTTTTTCTCTCACTTTTACATTTTTAATATGTGTACAGAATAGACGAACACGCCCGCACACTCACATGTAAGGTATGTTGTCATTTGTTATGTTGTTTTTCTTTTAGAGTCTGTTGAGTTACTTGTGAAAATATTTTGTTGTTGATAGGCTCGAACAATGTTATTATGGCAAAAATTAGATTTGCAGAAAAGATCATGAAATGACCCAGTCTCAAAGATTCGATATTTTTCAAAGATTTTACTCGTCATACACTTAAGAAAAAAATCTATGTATACTTCTTCGACAAACATTGTTTGATTGTTCGATACAATAGCAAAGTCTGAATACGAATTCGCTTCTCAACAATCAAACAATAGTTTTCAAAAAGAATACGTAATTTTTTTTCTTATTTAGCAGTCGAATAAAATCATAAAAAAAATTATCGAGCTTAACGAGATTGAATGCCTGCGGCCTTTTCAGTTTTCATAGACAATTATGGAATTCTTCTCGCACTAAACTATTGGGCACTGTTATTGAATTTTAATTGCAACAGGGATGAACTAGTTTAATTTCCTTGCGTTACATTAACTCATTTATACACAGCGTTACTTTCATTTTCGAATGAACTACTTTTTTAATTCGAATATTGTTTTTCATATAACTTTTATTTTTTTCTAATAGATTTTAGAAAATTTTATGCTAAAACAATGGAAGCGATTTATATATTACATGAAAAAGATATGGATGCTCGTTTTTATGTTTATCTTAGGGTAATTTCATTTTATTGAATAGATAATGTAAAAAATAAAAAATTATTTCGAATGGATTCATAAACATAAAGCTCAATTACGTAGACAACATTAGCTGCATTTAATGATACGACCTATTAAATGTTTACTTAAATATACATCAACAGCATATATTGATTATCAATTATTAATTGATTTATTGGATTAATAGTATTGATAATTGTCTAGTAAGAAAGTGATTCCGACAGTATTAAGTACATTTTGTTGTTATTGTTAAATTTTTGGTCAGAGTTCCTTGTTATACATCATGATTATATAGAAAAATTTCAAGTTATTGAACTTTCACAAGAATTAGCAACAGCACGAACACATTTAATCGTTTCTTTTCTTCAATTGTCTTGAATATATGTTAAGAACACCTAGTATGAAAACATTTTACTTATTCAATTAAGGAATATTCAAAGTTTATTTGATATTAAACTATTATCATTAACAATTGATGGTAAAATTATTGACAGTTTTTGTTTCGAAGGAAAATAGAGTGAGTGTAAGTTTTAGAGATATGCTAGACGAAAATTTGGACGTTTGCTGAATTCTTACTCATCATATTTTCATTAGAATTTATTTCATATTTCTCAAGGCATCCTGATGGTGAGCGTTTATGAATAAGTCATTATAGACTTTTATCTTAAGAGTGGCAACTATGAAAGATCAGACCTGTATCCAACTGCAACTGAAAGTTATAGTTAAATATTCTATGGCTTTAAGTGTATAAGTAAAAAAACACGAATATTGAAAACCTTTTTAGATGTGATAAGAGTCAATTCTGGAATAGTTTTCTCTAGACGGAAACACACCCTCATATCCTTTTTGGGAGATAATAAAGGAAACTCACCCAAAAGAAGTATAGAGACTCGAGTATGGAAAAATATGAAACTCATAGTAATTTTAAAAGCTAAAAAACGGAGTAAAATCTAATTTCTCACGCATTTCTTATGGTCTAGTAAAAACTTTTCACTTCAAGTATTTTGTATGAATGTAATGAGAGTAAAGAACATATGTAAGTTCTATATTTTAGTTCTTAACAAGTTGTATTGGCACAATCTCTATTTTTATTTTATAAAATTTTTCTTATTAAAGAAACTGAAAAATTCGGAATACTTTGTTCGATTGAAGGTCAAATACGTCAACATATATTTCGTGTTATTAATGAAAATACAAATACTAGTAGTCATAGTTCAAAATCTTATTTTACTGATTCAATGTCTTCACTATTATCGATTTCAACATTATCGAATAATACTCATCATCATGGAAGTAATAAAACTTATGTACTTTATCAGTTAGCTAAAGCGATTCTCGTAATGTACAATTTTTATTTTAGTCTTCACTTATTCAAACATCACTTGAGAATTTAGACATTGGTTCAGATTTACGTTCAATTAATTGTCTAAATTTATTAGACTTCGCATTTGAACGGTTTGAAAATTTTCATTTTTTTTTAAATTAATTAATGTTGAAATTTCAGTGGTCTTCATAAAGCGAAGAAACAATTAAGTCTAACTATTCCATTCAGTCCATGATTCAAGTAAATAAATGAGTGTATCATTAAGACAAGTAAGTATTTCAAATGAGAATTTCTCATAATTAAAGTAAAACATTCAGAAAATTTCGACTCATCTAACAACTGATAAAGAAATCGGAAATGCGTGTGCTCCCTAAAGTTCTGGTCTACTAGTGAAACTCATCGTGATATATCATTAGTATCAGAAATAGCCAGAAGAGAAGATATCGTACCAGCGACTAGTGCTTCAATAGAAAGATTATTTAGCTCAGCTTGATTAACATTGACTCAATGACGAATACGTTTATGATCAAGTCAAAATTTTCAAATATATTATTTATTCTTTCTTGTTGTCTACCTGTTGATATTGATTACATTTTGAATAATGAATATTTTGAGTTTTTGTTTTATTCAGCTTATGAAATAGTATGGTGACCGAATATTCTGATTGGTTTTTTCGTTGTTTTGAATTTGGTGATACTTAGGTCTGACCAAAAGTTGTGTCATCATTAAGTAAAAATATAAAGATAAGGAGATATTTTTAATTTTATTTTATCAAATGTTGAAGATAGTTGCCAGTATTATTTATTCCAAGATCAATCTTTTCTAGCAATTAATAAAAAGTTTTTTTTGAACTATTTTTGTGTAAAATTTTTAGCTACCTTGGTAACCGCATGAACACATCATATTTCATTTCTTTAATCGGTTAGACAACGTCCGACACAATCACTTAAGCATAGATTTACATAGTATCAGGTCTGAGAAATATGATAGATGTGACATTATATTGATGTCTCCTTCTGTCAAATAATTAATAAAATTGGACGAGTATGAAGTCAACGATGATCGTCAAGTAATTTTGAACATTTTGAATCTGATGTCTTTGTTTGTTTTCATATTATATTAACAAAAGGCTTCAGACACTTTTCAATATAATACTTGTAACCTACAGCCTCGCCTTTATCTACATTCAGGACTATTTGATTTAAAGAATATACGAAACACAAAGTTTTGATTCAAATCTATCTCCATGAGCAATAGTCTTTGACGATTCATCTTCAATATGCCAGCTAGCATTAGATGACTTATAACTAACCTATCTAAAATAAATCCATATCGCATCACTAGTAATGTTACAACGCAACTGACATAATCGAACAAAATTTCGCTAAATTTTTAAAACAAATGAAACATGATTAGTTCATACAGTTTTCAAGGTAGCTAAAAAGTTTTTCAGAAAAAGAGTTCAAAAAAAGCTATTAATTAACTGTTAGAAAAGATTGATCTTGGAATAAATAATACTGGCAACTATGCTAACATTTGAAAAAATAAAATTAAAAATATCTCCTTATCGTTATAGTGTTATTTAATGATGTCAAAACTTTCGGTCAGACCTAAGTATATTAAATCATGAGAAAAACGAACGAAATAAGAACCATTGTTTGGTTCAATGAGCGTAGCTACGAGGAAAATAAAAGTGACTTCTACTGAATTACTTTTAAAGTAATTCAAAACTAGCTTTATTGAAGCCCAAAAGGAAATTTAATAGATGAACAATTCAATAATTATTCCTTTATGTAGTGGTGAGTTA